TACATTCGTCATTGGAGAGCATAACGACATAGCCTATGAGCAAGCAAGTTCCAGGACTAGTGAGCCATAATCAAAAGAGGAGTGACATAGTGGTGGTATAAATACTGATGCTGCCTGGTGCTTCTTCCACTTGTCTCGCTACTCTAGCTCTCATAGCCACTACTACGACTCCTCCTGCTGCTTTCTGCTACTGCCTTCACTTCTGCACATTCTGATGCTACTGCTGTTACTAGGTGGCCTTAGTTAGGACATCTAAACCCTCGCAAGCCAGGCCTGTCGCCGAAGCTATTCCTGGGTCGTAGCCAGGTTCATAGCCACTCCAGTCGGCCTGAGTTTGGTGTAGTCCCCCTTAAGTAGATAGAATATGGCTTCGGGTATATTTTTACAAGAGCCCCATATACCCAATATTCTACCTACTTAAGGGGAACTATAGGGGTCTAGGGGACCTGGGACAAGGGCTTCGGAGGGGCTTTCACACTTGCATGGCCAAATCAGAAAGCTAGGAGATATGCTTGGACGGGCTTAGTTGGCTTTTTTTCCCAAGGAGTAGGATGAAGTTGATCCTAAACCCTAAACCCTAAAACAAGTGCAAAGGACCGAGCCGCTAATTCTCACGCCCAGGCCTCGCAAGATCACCAGCACATGGAGCTCATCTCCATGTGGCTTTTTCGACCCCAACCAAGAATAAAAACCCATACCCCGAGAACCTGCAACAAACAGTGCTAAAAGCAGTGCCCTAAGCTAGAACCAGAAGCGGCGGAAGTGTTGAATGCTGCTACTATTCTTCTCACCTGAAAAGCCGCACTGCTGATGCCTCGTCCTCCTCCTCATTCTCCTCCTTATCCACTTAATTACTTTCACAGGCATATGCGCCAAAGCCGATAACCATAGTTCTGGGCCATAGGTAGTGTGTTCAACCTACTCACCAACGAGTGTCGCGCTACTTTGTGGCTTGATCTCACTACGCTCTAGGCTCCAACTCTTACAAACTATACCCGAGAAACTCGACATCTAAACTCCGACACCATCCGTGGCGAGCCCCCTTGCCTTACTTGTGAATATAGCAAGGATTCTAGTACGAGGACCCTCTCAAACTAAGTCTATACATGCATATTCTTTGCAACATCCTGTATATGATCGCCACAAGCACAATATGTAAAAACAAACTGCAACAGACCCTAGGGATATATTGTAATGAAGGCAGGATTACAAGGGACCACTTTTGGGATTGCATAGGGCTTAGGTGGACCCGCCACTCAGCAAGAATGACTACAAGTGATAAAGGTTGTTATATTAGGGCCATCTTATATTTTCGCTATACCACAATTACATGCGGGACCATCTGGGGCTCATTTCGAGGAACTCCTATGCCGGATACGGTTTTTGAAGAGTGGGATTGCCGTGTGGGATTTGCGGTTTAGGGTCATGAGACTTGCATATGACTTGTATTATGGAGCGGAGTGGTGGGATAAAAGGGCCATGCAAAGCTTGTATGGGGAAGCTACCCGCCTGAAGATACCCTAGAATCTGGTTATCTTCCAAAATCGTGATGTCCCTTAGATATCCAAAGCACAAGAACCCTAAGCAGATGGACGCCCTAAAAAGGGTAGCCCCATTATGTGGAACATGTGTCCCTGTATACCTGTAAACCCTTATCCCTAAGCCTAACCCTACATACCCCTGGTCCACCCCTACTTGGAGGTTCAGGGTCATTACAAGTGTATAATTGCAACCCCAAAAACAAGTGTGCGTATAACCAACTATAAGCCCACTAGGCACCCTGAGGTTATAAGTGCTACGTATTGTAGCTACCCTGTACCTCCAAGTACTAGATTTGAAGACCCTTAACCCTATAAACTCTAAACCCTTCCACCCTAAACCCGCAACCCCGGTGGAGATATCTCCCCTATTAACCCCTATAATGTCCTAAACCCCCTAAACCCTGAAAACCCTAAAACCCTAAACCCTAAACCCTGAACCCTAAACCTTAAAACCCTAAACCCTGACCCCTAAACCTTAAAACCCTAAACCCTGACCCCTAAACCCTAAACCCTAAACCCCAAACCCCTAAACCCTATACTGCCCACTGCTAAGCCAGAGACCATGCGGGTCGGGCTGTTAGGTCCCCTTTGGGCTGCGACGGCTGCCTTGGGCTGTCAGATGAGCTTGCGGTTCAGGGCCATTGGAGTTTGAGAACCCTAAACCCTAAACCCTGAACCCTAAACCGTGTCTAGGGTTTAGGGTTTAGGGTTTCGTAAGGCTCTGGATTCTGGGCTTGGGACTTTGGAGTTTAGAGTTGCAGCTTCTGGGGTTCAGGGTTGAAGATTAGGATTTACGGACCGAGCTTTGGGATGTAGGCTTCCGGCTACAGTATGCATCTCTTGCATTCTAAGTACTGCGCCTGGGCTTTTCTTGTGAGATGGTTTTCGCCGCTATACTCAACATCAGCCGGGAGCCCTGTGCCTACCCTGAGCGACCTGTGGTAGAATGATGTTGGCCATAACTCCTGGTGTGCTTGTATATGTGCTTCACCTCAGACCGCATCATGGTGAAGCCTAGGACCTCTAAACCCCTATAAGCCCCTAAGTGCTAAACCGTGTAATCTCCTCCACCCAAAATCCACCCACCCTCTCATAACATTTTTCCCCTATACATCTGTAGTCTCCTTGGGCCTATAGTAAACTATGTTTAATAATTCCTTAGGGTTATACTATAAGCACATTTTTTTGTTAAAAAAAAATCCTAGGGAGATTACAGACATAACGGTGCCATGTTGGGCTCTTAGGGTCTCGTTTTGTCAGGCTGGCTGTAAGGTTTAGGTTTAGGGCTTAGGACTTAGGGCATCAATGCCAAATTTAACACCCAAGCTGATGTAACCCTTGTTCTAGGGATTTCCAAAAAAGGCGGCCCTAATTCTTGAAAACACCCGTTTAGGACTTAGAGCTTGGATTGAACCCTAAAACCTGTACCCTGTGGTGCTCATCATTCGCAAGAGTTGCTTGCTCTCCAGCTATCCAGCCACAAGGGAAATCCTCAAAACCATCCCGGTAGAAATCCGTCCGGGCGACGGCTAACTGGTGAGCCCAGAATACATCTAGGGTTTAGGGTCTAGGGTCTAGGGTTTAGGGGTAAGCCCAGAATACATCTCTAGACTCTAGACACCCTGGGCAAGAGAAAATGTGAACCTTCAAAAGCATCTACTTAAGACCCCTAACCTCCAAATAAACCCTAAACCGTTTACCCTAAACCCTGAAGCCCTAAAACCTTATACATCCCCTATAACCCGTGTCGGCAATTATTCCCGTAAACTCAGCTGCCTACCAACTAGTGGGTAATTACTACAAGGCTGCATGCAGCTGTAACTCAGCCCTTGCCAAACCCTAAACCCTCTAAACTCCTAAACCCCAAACCAAGCAAGATACTTAAGCCTCTGCATACCCAAGTGGCTGTGGTTGGAGCACCTTTGCGGCTCCCCTTGGCTCCTTTCCGCCCACCTTGGAAGGTATATGTTAGGTGGACCCCCCACCCAGTAATAGTGAGTATAAGGGATAATAAGGACTCTTTTCGGGTCCTCTTCTATTCCGATAATACCACTATTACAGGGTGGGGTGTCCTCATAAGTTATATGTATGGGGGCTTCCCAAGATTAGGGGTACCATTATGGGGGTCTCCATAATAAGGACTATAGCATTTCGGGGTCCCCTATTTTAGGAAACTACCATATGGGGTTTCCCAGAACTAGGACTATCTCAGGGTTTGGGGACCCAACAATGGGAAATCAAATGGAAAAGAACATAGAAAAATGAAATGGAAGCTGGGGGTTGTATAGGTGGACTATGGGCTTTTAGGGCTTCCCCAAAGTTAGGGGTACCACGTTCGTTCGGGGTTCCGTGTTTGCCGCTTTTGGGTGTGTTCCCATGCTAAAGACTAAGTGTTTGGGGCTATATGTTGGGCCCTGTCGGGCCGCCCTATTTCTGGCAACTACCATATCAGGATGTAAAGGTCGAGGGCATGCAACGAGCACAGGCACAGGGATGTGTAGGGTATTGCCCAGGGTCTGCCGTATAGCTCACTCTTGTGCTCTTGCAACTTCTGGTTCAAGGCACAAACAAGATACGTAAAGAATCATTGAAGAATACGCTAGAGCATTTTGGAAGTGTTAACAGCTGAGGTAGTGAAAGTAGAACAACAGCATTGATAGGGACCCTGCTAGGGTAATTCGGCAGGCGCTGGTTGTGGTAAAGATGCGGGCGCTTCTGTTCAACTGCCGGCACCTTTACCACGACTAGTAGTTGGGCTACGACAGTACAGATGCAGATGAAGGTCATTGCAGCCAATGCTGGTGCTGCTGTAGCTGCTCAAAAACCACATGAAGCGCGACAAGCAGGCAACAAACACATCATAATCAGGACTGCAGCGTGTCGACCACTGCAGAAGCGGGAGTAGTAGTAGTAGTTATAGTCATTGCAACGATTACGCGCTCCATGGCCTTGACAACTCGACTAGCTCACGGCCTGCAACTGAAAACAAAACTGAGCTTGGCTTGAGGAGGTCGCTCAAAGAAAAGTCCCATATGAGCTATGGTCTAAACTCCTTAAAGGGGGTTATGTAAGGGATTATGTAGGGGGCGGTGATTAGGGGGATATTCGGAGTTTAGACTATGGCTCATATATTATCTACAGAGTTTTTTGATCAGTGACTCTTTGAGACTGACGTCTGGCAAGCATACAGCAGCTCACGATGTCTTTTGCCGCGCTGGCTAACTCTTCGCATCGCGAAGTGCTTCTGCACTTCTTGGCAAAGCCTTGACCTTTGCTTGCAGCAGGACGGGCAAAATCAGCACATTTCGTCATTTTCACTTTTGTAGCCAGCATGGTTGATATGTGTCACCTGTTCCGCTGACCAGCAAAGCACTTACAGGCGCTTGACCCTAAGCCCTAAAGACTCTAAAGACCCTAAACTCAAAGCCCCAAAGCCAGTGCTCTCCCTGGCCGAAATGCTGAGCTCCACCCAGGCATGAGAAGTACCTGCTGTACTTCAGAGTTCAGGGCAATTTAAATTATAACCCACTTATAACTCATGTACTTCTAACCCAATGATCGCCACATTTTTTCGGGGGCTCACAATGGTTTTTATAAGAAGTACAGCTATAGTTACCCTGAACCTCCACGTATCGTCGGGGAATGTGAGGGTCTAGGGTTTGGGTCCGGTAGTGGTGTGTTTTTGCTTTTAGGGCTTTCAAGTTAAGGTTGGGGGCTTTAGGGTCAGGGCTTGGAATTTAGGATGTTGCTGCATTGATTGTTTTAGGGTTTGGGGTTGCAGGGCTTAAGAGCCAGCTCGGGTTCAGGGGACTTAATAATGGGAAAGGCGTTTCTGGCATAACCCTGAACCCTTAAATTCTACGACAGCTGCAACGCAGTGGGATTACTGTCCTGCCCTCCCCCGAACCCAGCAAGGTCTGGGCGAAGGGCTCAGTTGTTGTTTGGGAGGTGCTTATTCAGGCTTCCAGAGTATACGGAGGCCCATGGTAGGCAGTTAAAGCCCGAAGCTCTGAATCCTAAAGCCACTAACCCTGCGACGATCCTTTTGGGGCATGTGGGTCCTGAAGACCTGCTTTGTATGAACGTTGATGATTGTTTTTAGTATCTGGCGCAAGTACCTGAATGCAGAAAAACGACTGTAGTTGAATTAGCTGGTAAACTTGTACACCCGGACATGACTGTGCATAAAGCCTTCCAGTTTGCTGCGACTTCGGGTTGTGAGGGTTTAGGGCTTAGGGTCATAAACAGTCTAGTCGACACAGAAAGGTCTATCTATGCCTTCGCCGTAGATTGCACATCGCGCCCGGGACACCACTCATCTCAACGACTACACGCTGATGGCCCTAGAAAGTCTTCATTCAGGTGGGAAACTCACCCCCAAAATAGCCTAAACCCTAAACCCCCAAATACCCTGTACCCTAAACCCTAGACCCATCGACCCTGCAACACTTCAGGAAGGCTTTGATATGTTTTCTAAGAAGCCGCCCCTTAAAAGCGTGGCATACTAATGAGTGCAGGACGTTGCTTCTGGGAGTTATCTTATCGGACCTTTTCTCCATGGGAAGTTTCAGAGCTTTGGGCTTAGGAGTTGAGGGGTAAGGGTGGTTCAGTGTCTAGAGTTTAGGGCTAAACCCGAATCTCCGTCAACCCAAAAAATTTTCCTTTGCGGATGGCCGATGCTAGTCTCCCTAAACCCTTACCCTAATCTCCTCAAATCCTGAACCCTTGTCTCCCTAAATCCTGAACCCTAATCTCCCTAAATCCGAGACATCCCTAAACACCACTCTTTCTCCACCCTGCACCCTAGACATAAACACATAGACGCGAAGCCCCATCTTTTTCAGGTTATGGATTCAGGAATTTCAGGCCTCAAGCATGAACACCCAGGCCCCTTGCCCCAAACGGATAATAAGGCACACAGGAAAACCCCTTTCTCATGTTGGAAAACCTGTTTGTATCTACTTCCTTGAGCCCCCAAAACCCATCTTCTAACCCGCATCCCATCCTATGTGTAGCAGGTCTCGAAGCCCGTTTCTAATTCTTGTGGCCCGAATTTCTGTTCTTAGATCGCCGCTATGTAGCCACAGTGGCCATTGATTTCCGTGTTCTTTTCACTTGGATCAGCGTTTTTTTGTTTAGTGGCCTTTTACTTTAGCCGTCCAGCCGTTGTACAACCTAGTAGCCCCAAGCTCTATAAGCCCTTGACTCGGAAAATCCTGGCCTGACCAGGAGGAGAACCTGGGATCTTGCTCACTTTTCCGCAGGTGGTCACATGAACCTCGACCTGAACTTCTGGGCTTGGGAGTTAGCAGTTGGAGTTGGGGGCTTTAGGGTTCAGGATTTCGGGTTCAAAGGTACCATGATGTGACTGCGTGCGTATGTTTCTCGATTCGGTCGAAGGTCTAGCACAACCGCATAAGAGACTTCTATGCTTCTATGTACTAGGACTGTCTCAACAGTCAGCTGTACCACGCAGTTTATAGGACCCTTGTATTACGTTGTACGTGAGCATTCTTAGAGGGGACATCCACATCTTCTCCCCCCCTGCTCTAAGGGGGATCCTGCAGAGTGCCGAGAGGGTTGAAACATAGGGTTATGGGGGCTATATAGGGTTTATTCCCCAATAGTGGAAAATGAAATCGAAAAGAAATGGAAACTGGGCTTATAGTGGATCGTAGGGATTGGTGTTTTCCAACATCAGGAGTCCTTCTGGGGGCTTCCTCTATCAAGGAATATAGCATCTAGGGTATTTTTGGGTGAGCCCGACCATCAGGTGGATTGATGATTCCTGCGCTTGGTATCAAGTTGCGAGGACCGGGACCCCTCCGTCCCAAATGCAAAAGACGGCTGGATCACAGAGGCGAAGCCCGGGATTCAGGGTTTAGGGCACTAGGATGTGATTGACAACTGTTGGTGCCGAGGTCTCGTAACTCCCCAGTACAGCAGGCCAGCTCCCCGTAGGACTGCGTACCACACCTGACATGCCTTGTCATCAACCCGATGGGTCACCGCGTGAGGGTTCTTTCAACGCATATGGCTTTGGAATATACGACCGGAGCTCAGGCTACGTAAAATGGCCACAGGTGCTCCCCCCCCCCCGCCCGCTGAACTGACGATTTCAAACACATGTCGCAAGGAGTGTGTACTAGGTTTACGTGCCTTTTAATAAAACGCGAACCTAAGGACTGCAATGAGGCAAGGTCCCTTCCATTTCACGTCTTATTCCCCTTCCACCACGCTCACCTTTACACCTTTTCATCACGAAAAAGGAGACAAACCATCCGGGTAGAAGTTGGGCAAAGCATCAGAGTAAAGATGGTAAGCGCACTGAGTGGTGAAGATGAACATGACGACGATGATGATCATGACCTGGATGACCTATATACTGCTTTGTGGCTTTCGGGGTGGCCAAGGGCTCCCCATCCATCCCGCAACATGATGACAAATGTGCGTCTTGCAGTTGTAGACAGCTTGCTGAACCTGATTCAAACTGAAGCCACTGAGGTCCGGTTGCTGAAGCCCTAAGGGTCCAAGTACCTAATAATCACATACCTACCCAAAACCTGTACTACAATTATTATAACCCAAAACCCAAGTACCCAATTATTAGGTACTTGGACCCTAAACCCTAAACCCTAAAACCTTATCCCTAAACCCCATATACCCCTATATATCCCCTTAAAAGGGGACCTAACTATTGGGTACTTGGACCCTCTGGGAAGTGCAGACATGGACCTGAGGAGATGATGCTACGACCCTCAACATCCGTTAATCATATAGGGATTGTATGGGGTCACTAGGGGTTATATAGATATCATGGAAAAGAGAATGGAAATTACAGGAATTATAGGGATTATATAGGGATTACAGGGTATATATGAGGTTAAACTGGGATAATGGAAAAGAAAATGGAAACTACTACCCCAGACCCCCTAAAGGATCCAAAAAATGGAATCCCCGTAAATTGAAGCCATTACTACATTGGGGAAACTTGGGGATTATTGGGACGTTTTATTTTTTGGATCCTTTAGGGGGTCTGGGACACTGAAAAGCATACGTCAAGCCCAGTGACAGTGCCAGCGGCTTTTGCCTTTGAGTAGAAGGCCTTGTGTGTGAGGCTTAGAGGTTGGGTTTAGGGTTTGGGGGCATTAGGATTTGGGCATTGCCAGAAATCAGGGTTCCCTTTACACACCCTCAAATATAAGGCCGGATGTTGCGCAAACATCCACTTTCTCTGCCACTTTCTCTGGAAACAACGATGCACCTTACATAGGATTGTGGGATAAGCTCCAGAAAATATGTTGAGAAGATCTGGCAAGGAGATTTCGGGGAGAGGTTCAGGTGGAGGGGTCTCAAGTCTCAGAAAAAGCCTGGAACGCGTGGGGTTCCTTCTTCCAGGGATTCCTTCATTCCGCAACTGGCTCCTCTTTTCCTGCCCGCGAGCTGCATTCAAGCACCCATGCCAAAATCGTGCTAGTCATCCTGCCCCGCTACTGTTCCCATAGGGCGGTCCAGGGTTTAGGGTTACCTAATTGGTTCCGTTAATTGTGACAGACCGGGGCAGGTGTACAGTTGATCGCGGAGAGCTCCTGGGTCAAAAGTCTCAAATGGACCCCCAATTTTCTTTGCAAACCTGCCCTAAAACCCCCAAACCCTAATCCCCAAACCCTATATATACATATATATATATATATTGTAACGACTTTTCTTTTGTCGCCCACCCTTGAAGCCCCCCACCACCTGTTTGACCCCTTGCTGAACCTTTGCCAGGGTGCACAAAGAGAAGCCGCCTTCCTTACACGGTTCCGGGTTTATAGGGTTTTAGGGTTTAGGGTTATAGTTTTGGAGTTATATAGGGGATAATGGTACAGAACATGATACAGTACCTATTATTTAGGGTTTAAGGCTTAGGGTCTCAGGTGTATAGTCCCCCTCAAGTAGATAGAATATGGCTTTGGGTATATTACAACAAGATCCCCATGTACCTCATATGTTATCTACTTAAGGGGGACTATTGGGTTTGGACGTGCATTGTTGAAGCTGTTCAGTGTAAAGTGTTTTGTGAACTCCTCAAAGAGGATCAGGCCCAATGATGACGACCGATTTTTAACCGGGGGGTCCCGAGATTGAATTTAAAGGAAGTCCAACATTAGAGTGTAGGGCTGAACAAGGTCCTTCTCACATGCCTGAAAACCTGAAATCCAAATTGTATGGACCCCCACCCCGCCAATTTTTGGAAAGTCCAAAAATGCACGTACGTTTTGGTGAGTTTGGTGTGCTAGGTGGGGGCTGCATCACGGGGAGTATGGGGATCTCGGCTAATGGAGGAAAGCCGGGTTAGCAGAATTCTGGCGAACATATCAGGACAATGACTTCTATAAGTCATATGAACGGATGTGTTCAAGAAAGCCTGCCAAATTGCTATGAAGCTATGAATCTGAGATTCATCTTACATGTGCCCAAAGGGAAAGATGTCTTTTCATGGTACTCCGAGAAGGACACGAGATGCGAAGTCATGCCTTAATTTCTGAAGCACAACCTAACGTAGTCATCAAAACCATGTGCATGTAGGCTGACTTCATACCAGTAAAGATCTTTTTGGACACGAAAATTCTAACAACCTTATGCTGATCCTCAAATGACGACCAGACAGCCAGGCTTCGTAACGACATCGTTAGGCGGTCTGCCCTGCGTTCTTCAGGGGTGTCTCAGAAAACCAGTCCTCCTTGGGGAGTTCAGAACCTTCATTCTGGGAATTGACGCTAGGGCCGAATAATTGCTCTTGGGACATGGCACAGGGCATCGGAATATACTGGAATCATTCTTGCAGCCAGCAAGAGACTCCACATGGGATCTAAATCACAATTTTGTAAGAGGGTGCGAGGTTTAAAGAAGCCGGTGCTCATATCTATTTGTCATACTCCTCCCTTTCTTAATCGCATGCTAAGGTTTAATGAACCTAGGAACCAGGCAAAACTTTGCAGGAGGTATGTCATTCGCTATTTCTGGAACTTGCCCCAAAAGGATGTCATCATAAGCGCTGGAAAGCAGAAGACTCGTATGTGTGACAATTAATGACCCCCTGTACTCAGGATGTTACTTGTTCAGGCTGTGAGGCCCTGATCTCAAAGAGTCCCGCACCCTGAGCCCGTAATCCTGGATGCTTTCCGTGCCTGAGTGGAGACCGCACGAATCACCACGTGGGCGCCGGGGACGTGCGCAGCATGCATCCACACCTTTCATGGACATCAGGGCTATTGTTCTACAGAAAGGGGCCCTTCAGTTATAAATTGGGTTATCAGTACCTTGTAGTGGGGTTAAGTATAGGTTACAAGTCCTATGAGTGTTGTAGGGGCACCCTGTACTTCCCTCCCACAGATACTCCCTGACTCGGAAATTGAGAAAAATGACACCAGCAATGAATCTTTTTTGGTGTTAGTAAGATGACTTCTATGCGGTAGTGCGCATCCCTTGCACCCCTCAGTCTCGGAAAATATCATATACACAGGCTTTAGGAGAGGTCAGGGGACTTGGTAAGTATACTTATAACTTATACTATATCCCCGACCATATCCCCTATAGGCGGTATAATAACCCGGCTACCCCCAGCATTGACCTATACCTGCTAAGCCTCTCTGACCCCCGTAAGTTTGACATTCCCCAAAGATAGCGCTGCGCACTGCACGGAGCACTTCACATGACCTTCGACACTCTGGATGCGTGCGCATCTGGCTGTCTTCCCAGAATCCCAAAGCTTATATACACACATCGATCCTGTTTGGGACATTGAGATGTACAGCCGGGATTTAGCAACACCACCCCACTTAACACAATAATGGAACCACTCACAGAAGCTACAAGGAATTCCCCGACCATGACTTTGAACCGCTAAGCCCGACAAATCTAATCTACAGTAGACTCTCCGCCCTTTGTACGCCGAAAAGCTAAGAACAGCATGAAACCCAAAGCACAAAACCCCAAAGGCCTCATCAGCTCGTCCGAGATCAAGGGAGAGCCGGTCGTTGTCTGCGGCACTTTTGCCAATTAGCACCTGTTGGTTAGGTGGACCCCCCAAACCTGTAATAGTAACATAATGAGAATAATGTAACAGGACCCTAGCATAATTAACCGTATCCCTTATAATGTCGCACTCGTTCACGAAAGCTACCGCAATTGCATCAAGTTTTGGGGAATTATTCAGGACAGGGAAATGTTGGGGATGCCCGATATTATGTCAAGTTTGGGGGGCCGAAAAAACAGAGGTATCAAGACCTAAAACAAATGGATTAACTTCCAATTTTTCTTGCTAATACTAATACTACTGATGCTTATAACATTAGGATTCAGCTCAGACCCTCAAACAATTTTACTTCAGGACACCCTAAATTGTTTGGGGGGCCCATAGTACACAGGGTGCCACATTGGTCACCATTATTGGGTGGGAAGTCCACCTAACCTGTAGGCTGCCCTCTGTGGGTTTGCCCCCTTTTCAGGATACCCTGAAGGGACGCTGGGGGTATGTAAGGGTCGTAAACCCTAAACCCTAAACCCTAAACCCCTAAACCCTAAGCCCCTGTGAGATTATAGGAGTCGCGCTCTGGGACCCCATGGCGGATGGCTTGCAGAACAGGGGTCCAGCGTTGAATCTATCGTCCCCCTTAAGTAGATAGATATGGGGTATATGGGGATCCGATTACATATGCCCAAAGCCGTATTCTATCTACTTAAGGGTGACTCTAAACCCTAAACCCTAAGCCCCTAAAACCTAAACCTCACAACTTCAGGGCATTTTCTATCCGGAAGCTCTGTAGGGTGCGACTTGTAGGAGCTCCCGCGGCTGCACTATAAGGTTTAGGGTTTAGGGTTGAGGGATTTAGCGTTTAGGGTTTAGGGACAGTACAGTCACCCTTCGGTACCGCGCCCCCCCCTCAGTAACAGCTGGATAATAATTATAATATGGGTATATACAGCCCTTAATAGGACCGCTAATATAGACAGTTACTGGATGGGGGCAGTATCCAAAGTCACCCCCTGAACCGTAACCGCTCAGCCGACCTACTCTCTCACAGACCAAAACTGCCAACCCGAAGATAAAGACCTGGGCCCCTGGCCCTGAACCTGGATGCAGAAACCTTTATCCCTAAAGATGCATACCCCTATGCAACCCCATATGTCCCCACATAAGCCGTATAATGCAAAACAATAGAGCCTGCCACTGGCTCCCATCTTTCCCGGCCACTAAGACCGACCGGCAGCCTGCTTCGAGTCAGGGGTTACAAAAGTCGTACCTATAAAGTTATTACCCTAGGGATCCAAATAGCCCAATGTAGGCAATATTTACAGACTTTGGGGCCCAATGTAGGTATTATTTATATACTTGGATCCCTAGGGTTATGTAGAGCTTCTAGATTAGCATCTCGGGGCTGCGGAAAATACACGTCAGGTCTTCAAGTCCCTCTGATCAGCATTACAGCATTTGAGGTCAACTTTGCGGTTGGGTTGGCAAGGGGGATCCCAAATTGTGCAAGTAATCGAGTTATCATGCAAGGGCGAAGGATGGGGTTTTAGATGTTCGTATATGTCTGCATACTACGCAGCGTGCAAAGGTGCGTAGGTTCATACACAGGTACGTACGGGCACGCCTAAACGTTTATGAGCTCTAAACACTTACTTCCATGACATAACTAAAATTGCCTAAAGAATGATATAGCATACCACTGCATCGCACAAGACACCACAGCATGCCAGAACATAAGCTACCACATCATGCAGTATGATGCCATGCCATACCATACCATACCATACCATACCATACCAGGACACATGATACCACGCCCCACCACGCTGTACCACACATGCGTGGTTGTAGGCAGACAGGCATGTGTTTGCAGGCAGGCAGATGGACAGAAGAACAGAACACGTGGAAATGAGATACATGTGCATATCCAAATGACCCTGGCTGCGTAAGCCATGTATATTACAGCGCATTCAGAGTGCGAATCTTAGTTGTACAGGCATGCCATAGACGCAAAACATGCAATCTTGTGCTATCAGCGGAAAGCCACACATCGGTACAAACTAATTTTTGGCATTGAGACCGTCATAATTCCTGCCCCTGTACACCTGGGGTCTTTCCCCACGCCTCGAAAACTCCATGCACTAGACCCTATGAACCCTGTCCTAGTCCAATGGCCCTAGGAGAAAGAAAAAGTTCCTCGTGCAGTTCGCTGTTCATGTATTTAAGGGTAGCCACACTGCAAAAACTGTGGGATCCCTTTCATGGACCCAGTAATTAAGGTGAGGGTTGATTGTGCGGCTGTCTAGGGTGTAGGGATTAGGGTCTAGATGTATCCTTTTTTGTAAGTTACCCTGACCAGAAAAAGGATACACTCCTGGAAACTAACATGGAAACCCAAAAAGGGCCCTATAAAGACTACAGTCCCTCTAAAAAGGGGCTATATGGGTTTCCATGTTAGTTTGGGGGAGCGTACGGGATCCCCCCCAACAAATTCAACCCTGTGTGTCCTCATAGCCCCTAAAAGGATTCCCCAACTACAAACTACTCACATAAGCTTTACTCTATAAACTCCTAGTATCCCCTTAATCAGTGCAATAACAGACCCTAAACCCTAGACCCTACATAACCCCTAAACCCTATATGACCCCCTATATTAGCCCCTACACCTTGTGTAATCCCCTACATAACCCCCTAAACCCTAAACCCTATAAAATCCTCTATATTACTCCCTTTAAGGAATTTAGACTACAACAGCTCAGATGACCTGCCTTTAGGCGCTTTTGGCGCCGGCACTGGCTTCGACTTGGGACTCGGCTTGGCCGGAGCTTCGCCGAAGCCCTGCAAAGAAAGGTAATGGAACACCCCTGAACCCTGTCTCTATATATTCCTTATCAGCCCTTCAAAGGGTACCCCTGACTTTCGGAATGGCTTTGGATTTGGGGGTTTTGGGGTTTGGGGGTGTTTGCTTTTGAGGTCTTGCGGGTTGGGGTTTAGGTGTAGGGTTAGGGGTGTTGGGGTTAGAGGTTTGGGGCTATTTGGGGTTTGTAGGGGGTTGGGGCCTTAACTTGCTGGTATTTTAGGGAAAGGACGAATTCAAAAAAACTCCATCTTCCGAGCATTGTTTTACAGGGAGTTTAGGGTTCATGGTGCTTGGTAGGGAAGGGAGGCACGGAAGGCGCGGGAAATGCTTTGGTATTCTTTAGGTTGAGTTTGCTTACTGGTTCTTAGTAGGGAATACGGGAATATATTGTATTAGGGTTTATTTCGGGACTATATTCCCTTATTCCATACTACTGTAAGAAGCAAAAAGTGTAGGGTTCGAGGTGGTGAGTAGAACACCAAAGACCGGATGCCAATAATCCCCTGCTACCGTCGCTCCATTTCTACATGGCCTCCTGCTTACAGGATTTACTCAGATCTGTTCAGGCTCTATCAGGATAATGAGCTTGCTGTTCTGGTGCACATATCGGACCTTTTAAAACCGATGACAGGTCTTCCTGTTTTGGGCTCCCAGCATTTGTGGTGGATAGCAGACCCCTCATGCTGGCAAATTGCCAGCCGTCAGCAAAATTCATAGGCCAAGGGAGGTTGTTACTGCCTCGAGGGTACAACCCTGAAGTGTGAGTCGTTTCACGGTCCAACATTTTTTGTAGCTGTTTAACGGAATTTTTTGGCGAAGACTTTACCCCTAACCCTAAACCCTAACTGTAGCACAAGTCGGTAGAGTTCAGGATCTAAAATTTAGCGCAGGCCCAGCCGTGAAAAGACAAGAGGTGAGAACAGGAGGTCAGGTGTGTGGCCCCCTATGGGAACTTCCAAGAACCGAGATCCCTATATCTTACTCCCAAATAACGCTCACGGCAAGGGCTTCCAAGGGGGACCCCAAGTTTTGGAGTCCACCGCACATGTCTGCAACAGCTTTCCAGGCTATCCATCAGGACAAGTTTTCGGCAGCATGCAGGACATGCATGGGCTAATGTTGGAAGACGTTGTTCAAGATGAAGCTTTCTACCTGGGATGCCCATATCCTTCACAGTACTTCCCTAAACTCTAAACCGTTGTGCAAAGGTGCGCCCTGTAAAAGAAGTTTAGGACCATCTTGCTGAAGCTCCAGAAATGGTCGCCCTCGAACACTAACAGTGCAGGAGCCAGAATAAGTGGTATTGGTACTCTACTTTTTCCAGCTTTTGAATGCAACTACGTACTTGTTTTAGGCATGATGGCCGTCCAGGCCGTGGCAAGTTGAGCGCCCCTGGAACGTAGATGAGGTCTCACATGGTCTGCTTGAATGCTCCATCCCGCTTTATTGACACTTGTGGCCAACAGCCACAGATCCTAGGAAGTTCCTTTCGCTCCATCCGCTTGCCTAAGTGGAATGAAGGTTAATCTTTTGGCATTATGAAGAGAGTAAAGTATGCCGGAAAGCTTAAAGGTCGCTCAACTGCGGGAATATGAAACACCCCTTGGAAGCTTATTAAGCGGGCCTGAAGTATCGGTAATGTCATGTTGATGTCTTTCTGGGGTGCCCTATTCCTTAGTGGTACTAGCTGGGAGAATGAGTGTGGCAATCAGATGTAATTAGTTGGGCTTCTACATGACATAACCCCTACAAACCAACAAATCAAGCCCAGTTATACCCAGTAACCGTTTGATGTTCCATGTTCTTGTCCACTTGATTCTCCAGCTTGGGGCAATAATATTCCTGAAGCCCCGAACTCTGCATAACTTCTTCATAGCCCTTGCCAGTTGGGTTTGGGGTCGTCCGTCCTTGAAAGCGCCTGTCGCCACAGTCGAGGGTGCGTTATTGCGTGTGTGCACCTGCTGTCACCGAAAGCAATTCCAATCCCGGGTGCCCCGATCGTAGAAAATGATGTTGATGCTGGGACGACAGCATTCAGAGTTGTTCTCGCAAAAGCACGGCAGCTAATATGGTCCGCTTCTTAACGGGCATCCTTCTTTGTACGACCCGTTTTAGAGCTGTCATATTATGTTCGGAAGTGTAAACGACATGAGAATGATAAGTCGTGTGGACCTTGCCAGCTTGATGCTACTGTTGGTACAGTAAACCTGGTCATGTGGGATCAGTCAATACGTACACGTTGTACGAGCACCAGTCCTGGATACTTGCTATCAACACCAGTACAACAAAATGTGTGCAAAATAGTCTACACAAATCTCGAACAATGTTTACCTCACATCAGCAACACCCACGTGGAAAATACGTCTGCTCAAGTTCACAATGATCGTAAAACCTCCCCCCCCAAACCACATGTTCCCTGTAAATAGCTTTAAGTTGGGGGCAATGATCATCATTAGGGGTGGGATGTTTCACTAGCGGGAGACGGTATGAATTACAACCACCTGCATATTTGCACAAACTACTTTTTCCCAAGGCGCAACAAACCTGGAAGCAGGAACTTGTCTCAATGTGGCTACGAAGAATAGGGGACCCTTTTTTGGGAGTCCTTACTCTGGACCGTAATGTTTGATGTATGAAGAACCCCTACTCGCTGAACCCTTCAACGATTCTGTCTAGCTCTTGTTGTTCGCATTTTGAGTAGCGTTTTTTTGGTGGTTGACCCTAGTAAGATAATATTCCTTATGTAAAATGCTATACCCCAAAAGGAGGATATAATCTTACTCTATATTGGGTACCATACTATCCCCTAACTAAATACTACTCATATGGAGGTGGTTAGAAGTGCTAGAGATGCACAAGTACAAGGCCTCGCCAAACTCTTCTGGGGGCCGGAGAGAAATACAACGCGGAGTGAGCATTAGGGTTTAGGGTTTAGGGCCCTTGCAGTTGTAAACCAGAGCTACCAGGGCCACCCTTGCCCTTTTTCAAAAGAACAGACAAGCTTCCACACCCATATTTTTCAATAGGCATACTTTCAGGGAGGTCTACTAAGCAATCTATCTATAGTCCCCCTTAAGTAGATAAAATATGGGGTATATGGGGGGTCTTATTATAGTATTCCCAAAACCATATTCTATCTACTTAAGGGGGCCTAAACCCTAAACCCTAAATAGTAGTTCCCATTTTCTTTTCCATTATTACAGTATAATATACCCCCCCCCCCATATTCTATCATATTCTATCTACTTAAGGGGGACTATATTCTTTTACACTAGCCACAGCCACGGCACTCGAGCACGGGTCTGCGGCAGCTTGTTGGCAGAATGGCGCGCCGAGCCACCAAAGCCTGCCGTGCAGTGGAAGCAGCGGGGAGTCAGTTCTGTTTAGGGTTTAGGGTTCTGAAAGGTATTTAATGATGGGGAGAGTGGAGAAGAACATGCAAGCTACTGTAAAAAAGGTGCGGAACTCTGATACATAGGCACCGCGCAACTGGTTGATCAGTTGCTGCCTTTCTAAGCCCACGAACCAAGGACTCCCGTCCGTTTATCCGTTCCTCATTAGCCCGGTTTGTTATCTTGTTCCGCGCATTTAGCCATACACTTCCCACGCCTTGCTAAACGTAGTTGCTTTGCGGGCTTCAATGAAATCTCCAAAGTCTGGTACACACAGAAGGCAAAGATTAAGTTTGCTACCTCTGGGTATTTGAACTATGGCATGCGACCTGACGCAGGCAAATCATCTTAGGCCCCAAATCCTGGACCCTGAACCAGGCATCTGCGAAAGAAGTCGCAAGGCCCGACCATGCAGTTAGTATCCGGACTGGAAACTGGGGATCCTGGTGCATCCTTTTGGGATATGGGTGGTTGTCAAAATGATGGTCCCTCTTTGGATCCCTATTATGATACGGCACCTAATATTAGGGTGGGCCATAATTTTGACAACCGCCCATATGATGGGGCCGGGCATGTATGAGCCCCCATCGTGAAGGCCTCACAATGAGGATTCTATAGATCCACAGGGCCAAATTCTGAGAAGGTCTCATACCCAATGCAGCATTTCTAGTATGTGGGCTCTGCATTGCTAAGCAAAATTGAATAAGCGCGGCATCCCGAATTTTCGCTGTTCAGTTCACGGGTCAGAGAATGTTTTGCTGAAGCTCCTGGCGCGTGATATGCGATGTACAAAGAACTAATCACAGAGGAGGCTATGAATTTTTCGTGCAAAATTAGCATTCCCAAGCTCGCGTCAGCCACGCGCTTGAGGCTTTAGGGTCCAGGGCCAAGAATGCTTGATGATGGCCTGGGTGTCGTTGTGGTCTCAAGAGCGCCTTGCCTCTTGTAAGGAGAATCCCTGGTTTAGGGTTTAGGGTTTAGGATTTAGGGTATAGGGTTTAGGGTTTAGGGTACCCAAGCCCATGCTGCCCTGTAGTTCAACACGTTCGTGATAGCGCACGGCAAGTAGTTGCTCATCGAGATACTCAACGCTGCAATTGGGAATGTGTGGTGTAACCCTAAACCCTGAACCCTAAACCCTAAACTGTAGCCCACTCGCCTGTTCAGTCCAATAGGATTGACCTTGGAAGCCGAAGGGATCCTTTTCGCAGTTTTTGCCCAGGGATCCAAATAGCCCAATGTAGGTAATATTTACAGACTTTGGGGCCCAATGTAGGAATTATTTATATACTTGGATCCCTAGGGTTACAAAATGTAAACGGCCCCTCGCCTGGACCCAGAATTTGGATGTTGAGCCGGTGTTCGCTGCAGAAGCTGATGTCAGTAATTAATCTCCTCCCTCCCTCCCTCCTCCCGCCCTGTTAGATCACGTTCACCCCATCCCTGAATATTCCCAGTATTTGACTATAACTTAATTAGAAATAAAATCACAAGGTGGCGTGCTTTGAATATGGGACGCGGGTTGCATCAAAAAAGGGGGAGGAGAGTCGTCTTTCAGTCCCAGCCAGTGACCAAAAACTAGTGAGCAAGAAAGTGAGAGAATCTAAGTTCAAAAGCAACATTACAGCCCCTGCATCAACCTCAGTTTTCGATTGCTGGGATAAGGCATGATGTGACTTGAACACTTTCCCCGGGATGTCTTCGAGATAAGTACCCACTAGCATAATGTAGACCCCTGATTAATAAACCCCCTCCCCTTAATAGGGATTCTAGTAGGGATCCCAATATTTAGGCCCTTAAAAGAAGGGAGTTTATTAATCATGGGTCTACATTAATACATCAGCATGGAGTGCAAACCTGTAAAAATAGCTGAATACCCGTGACGCCTGCCTAACATATCTAACATGAAGCACTTCCTGTAGGAACTCAGACATATTGAGGGCAAAGGGTGTTTAAAGCTAGGGGGCAGGGATACCTCTGACGGGTACACGCCTCGAAACAAATCTGGAAAGTGAAAGCTGTCTCTTGTGGAAGTTCATGAATGAAACTGGATTTCCTTTAAGAGGGGGCCTACCATATAGGTTTCCATGATAATCTGCCGGGGGCACGCCCAGGGACATCTCACTGGAAACATAGCGATGGAGCTACGCAGATCTATAACCCTTGACTTGAAACAATGGTTTGGCAAGATCCGTGTACAACTCTACAAGGTCAATCTGCACAGCCTCTAGATGTTCTACGTATATGCAGAACCCGCGCGATAAGCCCCAAATCGAACCGCCTGCCGATATCCGCAAGCATTGCGGTGCTAGCGCCAAACACAGCCCCGCACGGAGGGCTCGCAGTTGCATTGTTTGCAGAAAAAACGGATTCTGGTTACCTAACCTCTAATATGAGGACGCTATGACTATTATGTGACTCTTAGACTCTTGTGGGATGCATAACATAGGTACTGGGGCTACTGAAATCCTTTTCCCAGCTTAGCAGCTTGAGGCTTCAAGCAGTCAGGCCACCCTAAACCCCAAACGTGGTGCTGCTGCTTTAAGAGGAACAAACACACACACAGATATATATATATATATACATACACACATATATAGTTGAGAATTGATGCTCCTGTCTGGGACCTGGTATCCTCACATACGAGTCTTCTGCGTGTTCGGCCTTGACGGACGACTAGTGACTGGATTAAACTCCTCGTGTCCCCCTTCATAAGCCCTACAAAATTCCCGTATAGAACCCCCTGTAAGGAGTTTAGACCCCAAACCCAAATCCCCATAATCGCATATATAACCCTGAAGGAGTTAAGACTATAGCTCAGTTGCGAGGCTTAAGCTGGAAATAGACCAGGCCTAACTGCACCGAATCTGAAATTGAGGAAGCGCGGCGTCCACAACCATGATGCCCAAAGGGGTTTGGGGTTTGTTTCGGGTTTGGGGTTTTAGGGCTATGGTTTTAGGGTTCAGGGCCTCAAAGTGGGCATGTGCAGATTGTGCAACATGTAACTGACCCTAAACCCTAAACCCGAAACCCGAAAACCTAAACCCTAAACCAACATGTAACTATGATGTCTCTGGCTTGTGCCTGCTTGAGCCTTAGAGGTCATCCCTGATTACACTATATGGGGGTTTCCCATAATTAGGGGTACCCACTATAATGGAGAATCAAATGGAAAAGAAAATGGAAAATAAAATGGAAACTGGGATTATATAGGGGATTATAGGGTTGGGGTTTCCCAAAATTAGGGGTACCATTTTGGGGGTCCTAATAATAAGGATTATAGTATTTTGGGGTCTATATTGGGGTACCCTAATTTTGGGAAACTACTATATCCTTGCCTCTGGAAAGCCTTCCACTTGAACATCCAATCCCGAACTTCCACCTTCTATGAACACTCAGCCTTGAAACCCATAAAATGCAAGGCCTGCCTGAGGAACGCTCATCAATCAGTCTGGTCCTTTAGCCTCATACCTGCAGCCTACATTGAGCCCGTGCCCATGACAAATCATCCAAAGGGAGTCCTTTTCACGGCCTTACCTGGAGGGTCATGGGGACTTAGTAAATGGGTTCATAATGGAAAAGAAAATGGAAACTGCTATGTATTATTTAGGGTTTAGGGTCATGGGGACTTAGTAAATGGGTTAATAATGGGGATAATTTGGGTTACTATATGGATTAGAGGGGTTATTAACCCACTTACTAGGTGACGATGAGCCTCCAAGTAGGCGTAATCTCTTTACACAGTCTGTCTAAACTCTTAGTATCCCCCTTAATACCCCCTATATTGCGACCCCTATATCACCACCTCCAAGGAGTTTAGACTATAGCTCGTATGTCGACTCTTGACGTGATTCTGAAGGAAGTGGGAGAGGACGTCTTCCCCGGAGCACAAGAGACCAATAAGGAGCTCTCTGTTAAGGTGTTGGAGTGTAAAAGTTAAGGGTCACGGCTTTGGGGAATTGGGGCCTGGAGTCTCTCTCTTAAACCCTAAGCCCTAAACCCTAAACCCTAAACCTTAAACCCTAAACCCTAAACTTGTCTAGGGCCACCTACACCAGCGGACCCGGCTCCAAACTCCAAAGATTCTTCATCCCTCTTCGACCCGTCAAGCCTGACCCATATCCGGAAAACCTAGGCTCCAAGCCCTAACGTCAAATCCTAAACTGCGTAAAGCCTAGGGCCTTCACCACAAAATCCTGATGTCCCTGTCAACCACACTTTCCTTTTCATTTTCCACTTGCTTGCCCATTTCAGAAACCCTGAACCGTTTTCCTAAACTCTGCCACTGCCAAGGCCGCCGCTTTCGAAGCCTAGGAGCTTAGCAGCCTCGTTTGCAGTCATGAGTCTCATAGTCCCCCTTAAGTAGATAGAATACGGGCTCATTTTTTGGGTCATACAGAGATAATGGAAAAGAAAATGGAAACTGATAAATCATTGGGGTTATAATCCTCCTTAAGTAGATAGAATATGGGGTATATGGGGATCTTAGAACATACCCAAAACCATATTCTATTTACTTAAGGGGGAATATGGGGTCTAGGACTGGTTTAGGGCTTCAAGCTTGGGGTAGGGAATGGCAAGCCCAAACGGACAAGCAACTGAATCAATTGAATGTAGATAAAATGGAAACATGGGGTTATAAGACACGCCCATGATTCTTCAAGAAACATATATAACTCACAGGCCAAGTGGCGTAGCTCTGTGACTGCGCAAGTTTGCGCAACTCTTCCACCCTCAGATCAATCAGCGGGTCAAGACCCAAAGCTGCAAATTCCAGGTCATTCGGTCACGCTCAACATTGCCTACCAAAAATATTGGAAATGGGTTGCAGAGGAGGGACTATGTCGGGGAATATGCTAAACTACAAGAGGGACTTGTTGCGTAGTGAGACAGCTGCAGACTGATGTCTAGCCCGTAGATGCTCCCATAATGGGACTTGTAGGCGTACATGCCT